TGGTTAAGATGAGGTAGGCTGCAATTTTCCTGATCTCTGCCTCCAAGCTCCCTAGGGTTATAGGCTTAAGGCTGGCCCCCACATTTCCTGATTTGTAACTCCATGTATTTGTCCTAATCTAGCAACTAGTTATCTAATTTCCCAGAACTCGTTTTCTCTCCCACAAGAGTTTCTTTTGTTAAGCCACATGAGAAGTATAGATCGAACAAGAAAGGGCTCTATGAAAATTAAATGTTTTCACCATGAAGACATGATGTTTGAGAAAACAGATATATTTACCCAGATTTGAATACTGTACAAGGTATATATGTATCAAAACACCACATAGTACCCCATAAATATGCACAATTTTTATATCAATTAAAAAAGCAAAAATAAGAAAAAGGAAAACTGCCATCAGTTATTATAGCTATAATTCTAGCACACTGGAACAAGCATTCCAAATTTTAGTGGGCCGAGGAATCATCTAAAGACATTTGTCAAAATTCAGATTTTCTGGCTCCATGCTAAAGATATTCTTAACTCAATAATAGACTTGGAGTGCAGGTTACAAACCTGAATTTTTAACCCCAAACCCAGACAATTCTACAGGTGTTCTGTAGACCATACTTGGAAGAACTCTTCAGGCCCTTTGCATGCATTAAGTATATGATGCTCCAGATGACAGAATGAAGTACTCTGTTCTCATTCAAGTAACTAAGGCTACATTTTTCAGATAAGTATGCCCCAAACCCAGGGAACTAGGTAATCACAATCAACTGTGATAAGAAGAAATTATTCAAACTATTTTTATCTAAATAATCAATGTTTAAGAAATAAAAGGTCAACACTTGGCCTTTTTTATTTTCCTAAATAAGAGAGCCAGAAATGAGTGAAGATAATTAAGTGATAAATGACTTAACAGAATAATTGAAATTTAAGCTAATAGGAGAAAATCCAACTTGTATTGCAGAACACCAGAAAGGCTGAGAAATTTAGGACGTAATGTTCTTCGAGAGCTGGGATTGAAAACAGGTTGCCTGTTCTGCAGAAAAGCAGCTAAACTTTCAGTATCCTTCTGTCACGCCAATCACTTAGACAACTATACTTTTGCCATTAGAAAAGAGGATTGATTTGTTCTCTAAAGAGACTGATCCAGAGAAACTCAAATCAGCACAAAGAAGAGCTGAGACTGATGGTAGTTTATAAAAAAAATAAGAAGGGAATTAAATGAAAGCCTGCATACTGAAAGTACAATTCTTAGCCTCCTCTACTTCTATGCTGCTGAAATTGGCAGATTCTGTCTGGTGAAACTGATCAGAGAAATGATCTACAGACACTGGCACAAAGAGACCCTAACCTCCTGAAGAGAAAAAGTCTAGTCAAGATTCTCTTTGGTTGGGCATGGTGGCTCACACCTGTAATCCCAGCTATGCAAAAGGCAGATATCGGAGGATCACAGTTCAAGGCCAATCCAGATAAAAAGTTAGCAAGACCCAATCTCAAACAATCTCAAAGATAGGTGTAGTGGTGCATGACTACCATCCCACCTGCGAAGGTATAAATAGGAGGATCATGGTCCAGGCTGGCCTAGGCAAAAAACATGAGACCTTATGTGAAAATAACTAAAGTGAAAAGGGCTGGGGCTGTGTCTCAAGTGGTGGAGTGCCTGCCTAGCAAGTGCAAAGTAATGAAAACAACCCTAGTACCATCAAAAATAAAAAGTAAAGATCCTCTTCAATGAAATCCATTCCTCAATAAAACATGCTTATGCTCACAAAACTTCACTTTTAATAACCAATGAATGGTCAAGTTATATTTAAAGAACAATCACACACACAGACATGCATACATACATATACACACACATACACACATGTACACATTCATACATACACAATACACACATACACAACCCAAACCCTAAAACAAAACAAGTACTTAGAGAAAACAGAGACAGTATAGAGAGAACCAAAAAATTCATTGAGTCAAAAGGTAAAAATAACCAAATCTGAGAGATAAAAAAGTTAGAAGTTGAGTTCATTAATAATGTACATATAAAAGTTGGACTTCCTTAAAATCAGAACAGTAAAAGAAAGGAAAATGGATATTGTTAAAGAAATAATTCAACAACCTTTTCAAAAGAGAAAGGATAGACTTTCTACAGTGAAAAGACAATGTGACTATCCAGCACATCTAGGGAAAAAAGTATTTCCCAAGATCTCAAATAAAATTCACCTCCTATGTTCTCATTCGGGGGCAGTAAGAATATGTGGAAGCTGGGCACCGGTGGCTCATGCCTGTAATCCTAGCTACTTGGGAGGCCGAGATTGAGAGGATCTTGTTTCCAGGACAGTCTGGGCAAATAGTTTATGAGACACCATCTCCAGAATAGCCAGAGGAAAAAAATGGACTGGAGGTGTGGCTCAAGCAGTAGAGTGCCTGCTTTGCAAGCACTAAGCCTTGCGTTCAAACCCCAGTCCCACCAAAAACAAACAAACAAAAAACAACAACGTGTAGAGAAATAGAAATCTAATGCAAAGGAAAGGAAACAGTAACCACCAGGTTGGTGATGAAGATCATCCCAGGGTAGAGGTCACAGAGAACAAGCTGGAATTCAAGTTGGAGCAATAGGACATGGGTCTTTTTCATTGTTTCATTCATTTCAGTATCTTTTTTCATCATTTTCTTCATCAGTATAATTTTATGCCATTAGTGACAATATACAGAAAACCAAGCAAAAAACAGGAAATAAATAATTATTAATTTCTAAGAAAAAATGAACATTGTTCATAAAGAAAATGTTATTTTGGATAATATCCACATGACCTAATATTACTTCCTTGACAATGCATCCAAGAGATAATGGGGAAAGAATCAAATGTATCCACCATGATGCTAACCTTAAGTTAGGAATCTGTAGCTTGTTATTTTCCATTAACTTGGCATCTTATGCCCACAATTTTTTTTCTTAATACCTCATCAACCCATGGATATATCCTATATAGCAAATGCTATGTGATTACTAAAACCATGTCGAGTATTTTTAAAACTATCATCTTTGAGCTTCAAATGGATATACAATCATTTTGGTATTCCAGAGTTTGATGAAGAAAAAAGGGTTGGTGGAGTGGCTCAAGGTGAAGGCCCTGAGTTCAAACCCCCAGTACTGAAAAAAAAAAAGTAACCAAAGCAAAAAGAGCTGGATGTGTGGCTCAAGAAGTAGAGCTCCTGCCTACCAAGTACAAAGCCCTGAGTTCAAACCCTAACACCACAAAAATTCTTTCAAAACTAAAATTTTATTTACAAAATAATTACCTCACCTTATTTTTCCTTCTAAAAGTTCTTATCGACACCCAACACCAGAATTTTTTGTTGCCTGCTCTCCTTTACCTCATTCTTAAAAATGTATTTAAGGAAAATCTATAAGCACATTTGTTACTGAATCTTGTCTTATTATGAATTTTATGAGTTGTGAAAATTTTACAAATTCTTATAACATAAAAAAGAAACTGAAGGCTTCCTCTGTCATCCAGTTTTAAGTAAATTCTCTCTAGAGACAAAAACAAAACAGCAGTGACATTTTTATTTATACTCAACCTTTCATCTAAGAACATGTTATCTATAAGAGTGACTATTACCCCAATTTTAACACCAAGGTATAAAATTACAGAGAATGAACTGAAGTGAGCTCAAGAGGTTTTCTAATCTAGCATCTGTCTCTAAGAATGACTGCATTTTAACAATACAAGAAAAACGTCCTTCTTTTCTAGTTTTTAAAATCTCCAGGCAAGATGTTATAACAACCCTTAGCAACTTGCTCTGGTGTGTAATATCTCGTTTTTACTCACTATCTAAATCTGCAGATAAGGAAGAAATAAAACCCAGGTTTCCTAGTACCTTGGTAAATGCTATTAACTGGTTGTGGTTATAAAACAACCACAAAAATAAGCAGATAAAGTTATTTTGATTGAATATCTAGTCAGTGATTGACTTGTATCAAGTAATATTCATTTGCAATAGTCTGGTATAAAAAAATTATGTACATCTATCTTGAATTCATAACAATTGTTTTCCATTTGTAAGAAAAATAATTTCTATCATAAGTATATTTGTGAGTCTTAATGATAAAAATAGAAAATATTTTCTAGGAACTTTCCCGATGCCAGTCTTTGCATTCTATGCATAATATCACAGTCAGTCCTCAAAGCAACTCTATGAAATAGGCACTGTTGCTAACTCCATTTTTAGATGAAGAAATTGAGGCTCAAAGAAGCTAAGTAATCCAAGTTCTCATAACTAGTGATCAGCTTAACCAGGATTCAAACCTAGACAATTTGGTTATGTTTTGCTGGTTCTCTAATATATTCTTAATAAATTTTGATTACTATTATTACAAAACTGCTGCTTTAAGATTGGTCAAAAAATCCTTGCCTATAAAAATCATTTTTTTTCCCAAATTCCCATTAGTTCCTCCAGATTTTTAATATCAGAAATGATCCAGGCAGTACAAGAACTTTCTAAAAACATGTAATTATATGACTTCAAATTCTGGTTTTTAAAACTTTGGTTTACTTGTTACATGATTTCTCTTAGGCCAATCCAGATTCATTTTTTAAAATTTATATGAATGTTTTCAAACAAAATTTTAACTGTTTCAGACTTTGATTATTCATTCAAGGAACAAAGGTATTTTTTGGTCTTATTCTAAATGAATGTTGAAGCTAGGTTAGACTGGTTTCCACGTAAATATATTATAAATTATTGATCAACTGGAAAGTTCCTCCCAGTATAAATACAACTTTTCACTAGGTAAATGGCCAACTATGCTGACCAAATAAATATCATTGCTTTGTTGAGATAATTCATGCAATAAGTACACTTCTAAATAGGTGAATTTTTTAAGTTATATGTAATGCCTTAATATTTCACTTTATTAATAGACATTGCTATTTAGAAGGAAAAAACATTTCAAAAGCCACAATAACTGAAATTTGATTCATATTTCAATGATTAATTACCTTTTTCATTGCTTCCTTTCCCACTGTAATCTCATGCCCATCCTTCCCTATGCCATTCTTAAAGAACAGAATTCGGACTGAGGTCTTCATTCTAATTGAAAGAACAGGCTTGGTTTTCTGTCTTTTGACATCAGTAGGAAGCATCAGCCCATTCATTGTCCAAGTTACTTTCTTCATTAACAACAGATGGTCTAGAAGATAATTTTTAAAAATTCAAGTCAATATTTGGCTTCAAATTAAAAATGGACGCATTGTGCTTCCCCTCCCCCATTACCTACATCATATACACTGGCCAGTCTCCATTTAGATGCTGGTTTTCTGAAATGCTACCACCAGCTTCCCACTAACCGTGACATAAGCTGTAGCAAGCTGTCTGCTCTGATAGCCTGCATAAATCATCATTTCTGAAGGGAACAGATGTTCAGGAGATGAAAGAGTAATACCACAATTTAGTTCTAATTAAAATTCACCTTAGTATGCTTCTATCAGTGATCACATGTACCTAGCTGAAAGGCTTCACTGAAAGGGTCCCATGTCCTTTGCTTACTATAAAACAATGTGGGTCCTGAACTTTTTGTGTTCTTTCAGGTAGGGAAAACACTCTTTTCATTCTGTAATAGTATTGCTTATCCATGTGGCTTTAAAGATGATGACCTTCAAATAATAAACTTATACTGTAATTCTTCTATAACTAAAATGAAGGTGCCTTCTAGAATGTCCTTGGCGAGAGATTTAAACTATTTTACTGAAAATGAAAAACAGTTTTTTATTAACAGTTTACTTTGACCTGTACATTTCCAAAGATGTGTGCACAAATTTAAGTTTCAAACTCCTACTAATGTTAATGGGAATACAACTAATTACTATGTATCACTTTGAAAATAGAAGGTAGGAACAGGAGTGTGGTGTATTGCATACCAAGTTGCTATCAGCATTCCTTTCTTTTCAAGGTTTCATCTCATAAATAAAAAATTCACAACTGAGGTACTTATTTTATTTGTGCATTCAATTCATTTTAGATCATATTTTCTTTTCACATAAATTACATCTGTTCTTATTTATACTAATGAGAGAAACAATTTTATTTGCAAATAACTGAAAAGAGAGGCATTTACTTGTTTACCCAAATTTTGAAATAACTCCTCTCTGTTAGCACTTACTTTGAAGAAGATCTCTTTGACCTATAAATAATACTTTACATAAAATCTGCTAATATTGATATCACATTGTTGTTAATGAACTTCAAATCTCAGAATGGGTATATCAAAATCTCTCTCTCTCAGGCACAAATACAAACATATGTATAGTGAGCAGAAATATGAGCAAAATTTGCAAAGTAAATTAAAACTACAATAGAAGATTAAGCTGTGATTAACCTTCAAAAAGAGAAAAAGTATTTTGACATAAATTAGTTGCTGTATTTTTCATTTCATAATTTGAAATTGATAAGAATTAGAATTAGAAAAATTAGAAGTCAATGGGTTCATTTATATCCAAAAGAAAACAGATACTCCAATAAATACATATACATTTCATATTTATAGCAGCACTTTTCACAATGGCCAAGAGGTGGACACCAAATGCCTACTAATGGATGAATGGATAAACAAATTGTAGAATATACATACTCTGGAGTATTATTTAGTCATAAAAAAGAATAAAATACTGAAACATGCTACAATATGGATGAAGCTCAGAAAGATAATACTAAGTAAAAATAAGCCAGACATAAAAATTGACATATGATGTAATTCCATTTATATGAAGTATTCAGAATAGGCAAACACATAGAAACAGAGCACATAGACTGAGGGTTGCCTGGGGCTGAGAGGAAAGGAGAGTGAAGAGAAATTTAATGGGTAAGTGGTTTTATTTTGGAATGGTGGAAATGTTTTGGAACTACACAGAGGTGCTGGCTATACAACATTGTGAATGTAGTAAATACTATTGAATTGTTCACTTTAAAATAACTAAATTTAGGTTATGTTAATTTCATCTCAACTATTAGTAAATCTAATAGTATCTCTCTGAAAATTTAAACATTGTATCTCTCAATGAATAAAAAACAAAAGCTAATGAATTCTTGTGGTTTAAATGGAGTGACTCCAGATGTTTTGCATAGAGGAAAACTATATCCAAACTAGGTTTGAATCTCAGCTTATTACTTAATGACCCTAGACTAATTATACATCCCTGAATCTCAGATTTCTCACTTACAAAGTATCTAGTACCTGATGTGGATTAAAATTTAAATAATTGAGGGGGTGGGGGAAGGGGGAGAAATGACCAAACATTGTATGCACATATGAATAAAAGAAAAAACTTTTTAAAAAAATTTAAATACTATGTACACATGTTTATAAATGGAAAAATGATACCTGTTGAAACTATTCTAGGAAAATGATGGAGGGGGTGAATTCAAGTATGATATATTTGATATATTGTAAGAGCTTTTGTAAATGCTACAATATACCCCCACCTAGCACACAATAAAAAAAGAAACTTCAAAAAAATTCTGTTTATAAAATTATCTAACACATCAAAGTCATTCCATAAATGTTAGCTTCTCTCTCCTGAAATCCTATTGTTTATTATGGTGCTGTGGAATAAATCAATTGTTACCTTAGTCAGGGTCCAACCAGGAAAAGAGAATCCACCCAGAGTACCTGAGCAGAGGTGACTATATGGAACTGGTTGCATAAATGAAGGAAAAAGCTGAGAAGCAATCAAAGACAACGAGCCAAGACAGAGATTATCAGCAGCAAGAAACCATATCCACCAAGGCCAGAAAGAGGAGGTCTTAGATCTAGATTTAGAGAATCTTACTTATGAAAAGGGTTTGCTTTGATTATTTCAACCACAGGCAGGACTAAAGTAAAGAGCCAAAAGACAAAATTCTAGGAAGTGTGCTCAGAGCCCTCACACAACCCTCAGAGTGAGCACTTCCTCAAATGTCCATAGGTGACTCACTCATGTAACCCTAGTACAGCCTGGCTACATGCAAAACTCCTTAAGTTCTACTAATAAAATAATGCTTATTGTCAGCCAGAAGCTGTTTTGTGTGATCTATAGTTTTGAAGTCATTCATCCTGTCAAGAACTTTTTGATGTAGGCCAACATTATTGTCTCCATCTACAGTGAGGAAACTGAGGTATAGGGGTAAAGTGCCCTAATGAAGATCTTGCAGTTAGCATGTGGTGCAGATTGGCTATGTCAGTTCTAGGAACTGCATTCCTAATCACTATGCTATTCTGCCTCTACCACACATTTTCTGCCATTATGTCAAATTCAGTATGTCTGAAGCAAAAAAAAAAACGAAAACAAAACAACTCTTTCTGCACACATTGTCTTGCTCTTCATAGTTCTCATTTATGTCAATGCTTCCAGTTCTTTCACAGTTAGCCAGGGAGACCTTGAAACCTTAATGCTTATTCATTCTCTCCAACCAACTGCTTATTCATTCAGTGATACTTATTGAGTGTCCATTCATCAAGGCACCAGGGTAACAGCTGTGAAGAGGACAGAGCAGCTTGTGCACCTCACGGCCTCTTGCAGACAGACCAACAGTGGAAGGCCTCTCTTAAGAGGTGACATCTGGATAGCAAAGACTGCCTAAGAACTCCATTGTGAAAATCTGGGGGGAGAATATTGCAGACATAGTGAAAAGCAATCACAAAGGCTTAAAGTAAGAATGAGCTTGGTGGTTTTGGATAAAGAAAATGTTTGGAGAGTTTATATGGATAAAGTCAAGGAGGAGAAAGGGGTAAAATTGTGTCAGTCAGGTAAAAGGTTTAGATTTTATTCTGGATGTGATGAGAACCTATTAGAATGTTCTTGGCAGGATGCTGTCAAGGAAGAGACTATAGCAGAGTTTAGTAGACATTGTTGATGCCCTGCCAAGGTACTTAAAAAAAACAAAACAAAACAAAAAAAACAGGCGACTGCACCTAAACTCCAGCTGCTGTGAGTCTTGGCTGCTACCAATTCTTAGCTGCACCCTTCTCATGAGAACTGCCCTTGGCTGAAAGGAACCTAGCCAGGGAAATGCCAGCAGGTTATGACCTAATTCTCTCCTTACTACAGAGATAGACATAGCCAATGACTGATTGACTGGAAGACAATCTCTTTGCTATAGGGAAGGGTCACCATGTGGTATCTTTCATACTTCAGACTGAAGGTATACTTCAGCTGACCACAGTTCTGTCAGTCTGTGTTCCTTTCTTCACTCCCTTATAGTTCCAGTTAGAGTACTTCCTCAATAAGTCTCTTAGACAAAAATCTCCATCTTGGTCTCTGCTCTAAGGGAACATACCTGAGACATAATAAAAGGAAGAACACCTAATTCTCAGCTACTCTTTTCTCACAGTAACTCTTTTTTTAACTTTTTAATTTTTATGTTTTTTTATTGTGCTGGGGGTACATTGTGGCATTTACAAAAGTTCTTACAATGTGTCATATTTGAATTCACCCCCTCCGTCATTCTCCTTTATCTCCCCTTCCCCCATTTCATTCCTGGAATAGTTTCAAAAGGTCTCATTTTTCCATTTACATACATGTGCACACAGTATTTGAACTGTATTCACCCTCCCACACCTTTTCCCCATCTCCTCCCCCTTCTGCTGGTAACAACACCCCAGACAGAACCTGTTCTGCCCTCCTGTTCTCTGATTTGGTAAAAGAAATGACATTTTTGTTTGTTTAAGATAGCTACACAGAGAATTTCCTTGTGACATTTACATGTATCTATGTATTATAACCCCAAATCAACATTCCTTTCCATTCCCCACCTGACCCATTTCATTTCTCCCTTAGCCTCTTATAATCTCCAATAGCTTCCTAATTGTATTTGATTCTTCCTATTACTTCCGACATTCTGTACTCTAATCACAGATGAATTTCCAACATCAGTTTTATCATTGTCTAAGGCAAGTCTTAGATCTATGTTTTGAAGTGTTCCACTAGTCAGCCAGCCAATCAGGCAGACAACATATTCTTGTTGAGTTCATCCTATGTACTAGATTCTGTACAAGAAAAATGAAAACAACACACAGTCCTTCCCCTTAAACTTGTGTCTGACAGAAAAATTTATAGGTAATCAAGCACCATTCAAAATTCCTGGTCTTATCTTACCCTAGTTTAGAGCATTCTTCTACCTAAGCCAATCTGTTCATTATCCCTTGAGTATAT